AGGTCTTATTAATAACTCAAACTTCATGTTCCTTGCTTTTTGCAGCAAGCAGGAATATGTTTATGAAAAAAACAAGTTTGCTCCCAAATCAAACTCACATGAACTGACTGTTCAYTTAGGTTATCTGAGGGATCTTCTCCCATTTCTGTATTTATGATAAACTCCTCAGACATCAGCTTGTAACATGTAATTAAAATTACCGCACATTTCAAAGTGTATTTAGTCACGTTAAGTCATTTTATGCTGTGAGGAAATTAATATGATTTTACACCAGCTCCAAAAGGATTGGTAAACTAATGAATACTTGCTACAGCATCCAATCTTTATGCAATTTGTTGGGTAGATTAGCTTTAATAAAACTACTATGCTCATAAAATCTACTATTTCTAAGCAAACAAGGATCTTTAAATTGTACCAATTGTGGCCTGAATTATGAATGCATAATTTAGTGTCCATTCTGACAAGACACTTCATGAAGAATTCAAATTTTGTAATATAAATGTAAATGATGGGTTGTTTTTGTTTTTGTTTCAGCCTTTATGTCTGGTATAGAGTTAGCACATGTTCTCCATTTGTGCAGATATCTGAAATAAATTGTCTTTCATGATTATTTTCTTTATGGAAAAAATGTATATCCCCGTGAAATTACTCTGCACGCTGTTTCACATAAAATAACTCAAGCTACATTCCCCTTGGCTCTTTGTTACTAAAACTTAATTATATTGGACTGAAGCTTTGAAGTGAAATATGTTGAAAAATCAATCCTAACCTTGATAAAAAAAATGTTATTCCAGACAAATTTTTGCCTTCTAGGAAATAAAACAAGCAACAGCTGACCTTGTTGACTTAACGTTTGTAGAATGTGAACTTTCTCTTCACAGTATTCTCCGTAATGTCGGTTATCCTTTTAATTAATTCTGATTTCAGAAGAATTCAGAGTGAGAAATGCATTGGTGCAAAATTCTTTCATTCATGCCATCTTTAACCTGTTCAGGGTCACTTGGAGCTGGTGCCTGTCTCCAGTGGTCAAAAAGCAAAAGGAGTACTGTATTGCTAAAAAAAATATTTCACAAGAACTAGACCTTTTTTCATATAAGGTCAAGGCAAGATCACAGTTTCAAAAATTCACTCAAACTCCATGTAGCTTAACCTTCAACTGTTGTGGTGGTTTGCTGTTGTAAAGCCACAGCTCATCCAAACATGATCTAAAAATACTAGAACATGCCCACAACATTTGCTGTCTTAGTTTTTTTTTCTTTTGCCTGAATGCCAAAGAGTTGGTGCATTGAGTGACTTTTCTCTGCACGAAGGGTGACTCTTTGTAGACTCAAAGGACCACCTGCCCTTATGAACACAACTGGGTCAATTCACTCAGGAACCATTGAGCACACTTTCGGTTTTTCAGGGGTTAAACTGAAAAATTCAACACAGACGCCTTCAAAATAATCAAATACAGCTTTTAACATTCATTGCAAAACATTTAATATAGCTTGACATGTATTTGAAAACAGTTAAATTAAACTGATGCCTGCACTATTATTGTTATTGTCTGTATGTTCCTATTTTCTTCAGAACCTTTGTTCCCCTGTAACTATATTCCCCAATACCTATCTTCCCCAGTACCTATTTTCCCCAGTACCTATTTTCCCCAGTACCTATGTTCTCGAGCACCTATGTTCCCCAAAACCTGTGTTTGCCAGTACCTATTTCCCCAATACCTATTTTCTCCAGTGCCTATGTTCCCCAGTACCTATGTTCCCCTAGTGTTGGGTAATATTGGCTAAAAAATTAATCACGATTAATTGTGGCATTTAGCCAAAAACGATTAATTTGACGATTAATCCCCTTGAATCCCTGGACACCCTCATGTCCTAGTCACACGACCAATTTAGTGGGAAAGATTTGCTCTTCATACAAATCTGTTCCAAATTGTGTCAGAATTACAGACTTCAGGATATATATCAAATTTTACATTCAGTTGCTAGATAAATAAATTACAGAATTTTTTTAATGATCATCATATATATTTGAAGCAGAAAGGAGCAGCGAGCAGATTCTGCCTGGTGGCATTAATCGTATTAATCGTCAAGTGCCAAAAAGTAATCGATTAATGTTTTTCTTGCGATTAATTGCACACGATACGATTATGCACAACCCTATGTTCCCCAGTACCTATGTTCCCCAGTACCTATGTTCCCCAGTACCTATGTTCCCCAGTACCTATGTTCTCCAGTACCTATTTTCCCCAGTACCTATGTTCTCCAGTATTTTCCCCAGTACCTATGTTCCCCAGTACCTATGTTCCCCAGTACCTATGTTCTCCAGTACCTATGTTCCCCAGTACCTATGTTCTCCAGTACCTATGTTCCCCAGTACCTATGTTCCCCAGCACCTATGTTCCCCAGTACCTATGTTCCCCAGTACCTATGTTCCCCAGTACCTATTTTCCCCAGTACCTTTTTCCCCAGTACCTATTTTCCCCAGTACCTATGTTCTCCAGTACCTATTTTCCCCAGTACCTATATTCCCCAGCACCTATGTTCCCCAGTACCTATGTTCTCCAGTACCTATGTTCCCCAGTACCTATGTTCCCCAGTACCTATGTTCCCCAGTACCTATTTTCCCCAGTACCTATTTTCCCTAGTACCTATTTTCCCCAGTACCTATGTTCTCCAGTAGCTATGTTCCCCAGTACCTATGTTCTCCCGTACCTGTGTTCTCCAGTACCTATTTTCCCCAGTACCTATTTTCCCTAGTACCTATTTTCCCCAGTACCTATGTTCTCCAGTAGCTATGTTCCCCAGTACCTATGTTCTCCCGTACCTGTGTTCTCCAGTACCCATGTTCTCCAGTACCTATGTTCCGCTCTATTTATGTTCCCCAGTATCTTTTTTCCTGGTACCTATTTTCCCCATTACCTTTTTTTTTACCAGTACCTATGTTCCGTGGTAACTATATACATATGTTCCCAAGTATCAATCAATCAATCAATCAATCAATCAATCAATCAATCAATCAATCAATCAATCAATCAATCAATCAATCAAAACTTTATTTATATAGCACTTTACACACCCCAAGGCAACCAAAGTGCTGCACATCAAAAAATAAAAATGCAGTAATATAAAAGCATGCAAACAAATACAACTTACTAAACAGAGAGAGAGAGAGAGAGAGAGAGAGAGAGAGAGAGAGAGAGATTGGACTACTGTGCTCTCTGGAATTAAAAGCCAAACCAAAAAGATGGGTCTTTAAAAGAGATTTAAATTCATTAAGTGTTCAATGTTCCCCTGTTCTTCTCTTCCCAAACACCTTTTTCCCCAGTACCTATGTTCCCAAGTATCTATGTTCCCAAGTATCTATGTTCCCAAGTATCTATGTTCCCACGTATCTATGTTCCCCTTTGTTCCCCTCTACCTTTTTTCCCAGGTTCTCTGGTACAATACCTGCATTGTAATTTAAGGGGGAATTTATTTTTAATGATTTAGTATAGTATAATATTAGCTGTGTGAACATGTAAGCTAAAGTTTTGTAGCATGACAAGCTGATTTCCATGTAGCCGCACTGACAGTTGTTTCATTACAACAGGTAGACTTTGTTTGTGCTGTCTCATTGTTTTTTGCGGGAGATAAGAAAAGTTTTGCTTGTTAAGAGTTTTTCTAAAAAAAAACTTTGAAGAGGAGACAGTAAGCTCTTCGCTGTGATTAATTCAAATGAGTTGAAGCACGAACCCCACAGGAGCGTTGCTCAGATAATTACAGCAAAGAAGATGGGAGCAAATGTTGTCCAAACAATAACGAAGGCAAAGAAGGCTTGTTTATTGACGTCGTGTAGCTCAGAAGGACAGTTGTGGTCTGTTTGTTATTGTGTCTGTCTCTAATGTTAGGCATATTAAAATATCCATGCACAAAGTTAGTTGTGAGGGCGAATTGAAGGTTGTTTTTGCTTTTCAGGTTGCAGAAGAGGATGCATTTTGTTCTTGTCTTAGCGCAACGTTCACATTCCTCCAGGAGCCTTTAAGCTCCCGTGTTCCAGTAAACTGAGTAAATAATTAGTCCAGTGATTTTTTTTTCTGAGAAATCAACACTGCAGACCTTACTGTGCAATYTTTTCCCTCTTCAGAGCCGTTTAATCGTTATTCTTAAACGCATCTCTAATGACCCCATCGATTAACAGCTGGGAAGCACGATCGATCTGAGAATAATGCCTTTGAATATCAGTGCTAAATGTCTGCTGCTGTGCATCGGACTAACTAAATGTAGAGTTCACACCACCTCCGGTGTTCAGGACAGCAAATTTTAAGAATTGCTTCTTTTTTCTCTGCCCCTGCAGTGCAGATGCACAGCTTGAATTAAATCATTATTAAAGAAATGAACCACATTTAAAAGAGAAAAAAATGTTACAGAGGCAAACAACACATTTATATTCTCTTCATAGATTCAGCTGGTATTATAATGAGTGTTCCTCTAATCTTTGAGTTGACTTCATTTTCGTGTTGAACAAACTGAAACGAGGCTACGCTTTTAAAGATCGTTTTTAGCCGTTCGGACGTATTTAAATTTGTGCTTTTTTTTTTTACAGCAAACCATCCCTGTATGTGATACTGTAGTAAAATAAATCAAATAAAATAGAAAACAAATTGAAATGTTCTTTTTTTTTTCTTTTTGAAACATGTATTTACTTCAGTGTTTATAGGTTTCTCTGATGCAGAGTTAAGTTGTTTTTTAAAACTGCATTAAAATTCAAATGCTTCATATGTGATTACAACTGAACTGATCTGTAATACTAAAAATATTATCTGAAATGAACTGAGTTTGTGTAAAGTGGACTGAATAGGGCAATAAAATTTTATTAGATCACTTTAAATCTTCATTATTATCTTCTCCTGGTAAGTTTTATGAATTCTTAAAGTTTTAAAAGAGAAAACCCAGAGCTATGTGTCTGAAAGGCCTCAGTTTCTAATTGTTTATTTTTATTTTTATTTTTTTTACGTCTTGCAGGTGATTTGGTGTCCCGGGCCATGCTCCTCCTCCAGCCGCTGCACATCAAGAACCCGAGCAACGGCACTCCGGTCCATCAGAAGACCAACACTACGGTTCACTGGGAGCCCGAAGCCCTCTACACCCTGTGTTACTTCATGCACTGCCCGCAGATGGAATGGGAGAACCCCAACATTGAGCCATCCAAAGTCACTTTACAAACTGAGAGGTGAGTCCAACAGATGGTGTAGCCATGTTGAAGTGAAGCTCTGTATAAACGTTCAGAGAAAGTATTATTTCCACTGTGGTAGAAACCTGTTTGACCTCTTTGCAGACTGATGAGGTAAAGGGGCAATATCATGTAAAATCAACTTTTTTGAGTTTTATGCCATGTTATAATGTTATACTCTCATAAAAAAAAACATG